TGAAGAACAACAACTTGGCTGTTCCACTTCCCCAATTTCCCAACACTGTTCCCCTCCCCCAATCACCCTACACAGTTCCCCTCCTCCAATTCCCCAATAAAATATTTTTTTTTTAAATGGGGTAAAATAAAAACATTACAAAGATGGGAGTTAAGAAATATTTCACCTAGTGTTGGGAAAGAGAATATCTCTATATTCTGATATACCATGTTCTGACATGTAAACCTTGAGGATGGAAAAGAACAAAGACCCTCACCATGAAGTTCAAAATTTTCACTGATTTTAATTTGCTCTGAAGCAATAGATGTCCCCACCATTCTCATAAATGTGCGTTACTAGTAGAGAATTACCTGAGGTAAAGTCGTTCAATATTCTAATCTTCTCCCTGAAACTGTGAGTAGTAGTTTATCTCCTAAATCCTCAAAGGTTCAGCTTTCTTCTCAGAGATACAGGTTTTCATCTATCCTCACCCAATCATAGTAAACTTTGTCTCTATAGATATAAACGCAATGCATTTTATTTCATAGGTGGATTTTGCCTCTTTAATTTAAAAAAGGAAATACATATGTATATTTGGGGGTTCAGCAACATTTACTTATTTATTTATTCATTTATTCAACAAATTAAGTGATTGCTTATTTACTGTGTGCTATACATTATTGTAGAGCAAATGATAGAAACATTTTCCTTAATGTAGTTTACATCCTTACTTTACATACTTATTTGTAAATGCATACTTATATATTAATATTTTATATATTTATTAATAAATAAGCAATATAATATAAAGTAGTGATAATACTGTGGATAAAAATGAAGCAGGATAGAAGAGAGGGTGACAGCAAGAAGAGGAGGCTTATTCTAACTAGGTTACTTATGAAAGGCCTCTCTGCAGAGTTGTTTGGAAGTCAGAGAATAACAACAACAAAAATATTGTTCTACAAAAATATGCTAATTTAATACTATAATACATGCTATCATTTTTAGTTACTGAAATCATTAGTCAAAATAACTTTTTAAAGTAAGTTTTTGC